GGAAAAGAAATGTATACTGCATTGAAACAGATAAGGGAGAGAACTGTTTAAAAGGAATATGTATATGATTAGGTATTATTTTCATGACAAGATTCCAGAAAAAAAAAGATGCATAGTAAAGTGGACTTGGGAGAGTGGGGGATGGTATAACAATGAAAGAATTATTTTTTTTCTTTTAAAAGAGAAAAGCAAACTGGGTGGGAGAAGGTGTGCAGGGAGGAAAATGTGCAGCAATGAATAAATGAGAAAAAAATGAAATGGGAAGAATAGCTGTAAGAAAACAAAAAAATATATTTACTATGAGTAAATTCACGGTACAAAAAAAAAAAACCAGGGATGGCTGAAGTAGTTCAGGTAAAAGGTAAAAACACTTGGATTAAGAAAGGACAGGAAGTCCCTCAACAAGATGAATTGATACGATTTTCTGTTGTGGTGGGTTTAGATGTGTCAGGGATAAGGAGGATGACACGGGATAGAATAGGGCTTGTAGCTGTTGTTCATAGAGTCACTATGAACCCTCTACCCTACTCAACCCAACGACACTTAAAAACAGTGTTAATAGAAGAAAAGAGGTTATAGTTCCTCCATTATGTATTTGAAGTGTTAACACGATACTTCCCAATTTTGGAAATTCAGAACATTTTCCTATAAGCACTTTTTAGCTTTTGACTGTGGAGAACAAATGTAAGAGAGATTGATTATTTCAACACTTTTAGACCAGCTTTCTTTTAAAAGATCAGCACATTCTTTTAAATGTTCTGTTATAGCAAGTCATTATTCTTGGAGTGCAGGTTTGTATTTTGACATGCCCACTGCAAGAACATTCAGAACAGTAAATGCATGGCCAAGCTGAAGAGTCATAGTCTTTAATCAAATGAAATACGTGACTGATTTTCTTTAACTTTTAAATAAATCTAAAGAAAATTGGAAATTTCAAGAACTCTTTGAGATCTCTAAAGTGTAGGCTTTTGATTATTATAGTCTTCAAAACTGAAACTATTTTTGCAAAGCAAATATCACACTTAACCTTTATATGGTTTATTTATGAAAAACTGAGCTATTGCCTTTTGTTACACCTTTATGTATTTTCTCTTGTACTACTTGGACTGAGGATTCTGGCACTCTGAATATGAATCTCTACTCTCCTCATTTCTCTCTCTTTGTAACTAACCAGAATAGATTACTGTCTGAACCAGTTTCATATTAAATACCTTTTCTACTCCTGTTGTTTCAGTAGCTGTGACCTGTTGTTAAATGCCATCCAGTCAGCTCTGACTCATCGTGGCCCATGTACAACTGAACCTACAGCTGCCCGGTTCTGCACTATCCTCACAGTCACTTCCATGCTTGACACGGTCACAAGCACCGTGTCCCTCTGTCTCATTGAGGGGCTTCGTCTTTATCATTGACCCTCTACTTCCAAGACTGATCTGTTTGTTCTTTTGGCAATCCATGATAAATTCAGTATTCTTCACTAACACAATTCAGAGGGTCCAGTTCTTTGGTCTTCTTTTTTCATTGTCTATCTTTCACAAACATAAATGGCAATTGAAAATATTATACCTTGAGTCAGGCACCCCTTAATCCTCTAAGTGACATGCTTACTCTTTGGGACCTTGAAAGGTCTTTGGCAGCAGTTTTGTCAGATGCAGTGTGTCTTTTAATGTCTCAGTTGCTTTTCCATGGCATTGATTGTGAATCTAAGTAAACTTCAGTCATTTTTTGTTTACCATGATGGTGTTCACTGGTCCAGTTGTGAAAATTGTCTTGTCCGTTATAGAGGTATTGAGGTGTGAGGGTGAGGGTCAGCTAAGGAGAAGAGGACCCTCAGCCAGATGAATTGAGACGGTAACTGCTGCAGTGGGCTGTTGTGTGTGAGTATGGTGCAGGACTAGGTTCAGATCTTTTTGTTCATAGGGTCGCTAGGAGTCGTACTTGTCTCAATGGCACTGGACAGTAGCAGTTGAGGTATGAGGGATCTCTGATGGCATAGTCACTAGGAAATTACACTACTAATCCAAAAAGTGGTGCCTCTGTTGCTCCAAATCCACAGCTGCCTCCTCAGGAAAAATGTGGACAGTCACCTCCCGTGTCTTGGACACCTTCAGTAAATCTTACTGCAGAGTCAGCTATGAGTCACTTCTGATTTGACGGCGATGAATTTGAGATTTTATGTTTGCGTTTTTTATGTTTCTGTTTAATCTATAGTGAAGGCTATAATCTTTGAAAGTTATTAGTAAGTCCTTTAAATCTTTACCTTCAGCAAGTCATCAACACGTCATGGATTGCTAATAAATCTTCATCTAATCCTAATTTCACATTCTTTACATGCATAGAGTCCAGCTTCTCAGATTATCTGCTTAGTTTACAGACTGAACTTTTCCTGGTTTTGAACCATGCTATATTTATTCCTTTGTTCTGTTCAAATGACAGTTTCTCGGTAGATGTATGTCATCGATAATTTGTTATGACTCTTTAGGGTTTGTTTGTTTGTTTGTTTGTTTGTTTTAACAACAGGACTTTTCTAGGCCTAGCTTTTAGAGTTAACCTCTTGATAATTAGCTCTTGTCTACTTAAAAGATAAATCTTGACACTTTCTGACTCATCATAAATTAGAAGTATGGTCTTAAACATCCCCTACAAAATTATTTCTTTAGAAAGGTAGGTGGTTGGGAGAAGGAGTAGACTCCGAACAACCTAAAAAATGATAGAAAGAAACATGAAACATCTCTTCTAAGTACAATTTTTTTTCTTTTTATTTTAGAGAGACAATACCCTTTTCTTACATATTATTATGCTATCAGTGCTTATGGTCTTCAGTTTTATTTTTTTAATCAGAATAGCATTATCTCTCACTTGGCATAACTCAAAATGATGTTGGAGAGCCTATTACTGAATAGCCTACAAAGAGTTTAGAAAATAGGGAGGAAAAAAACAATATCCATGGTATTAGTTTGCCTCACTTTTGTGGAACTCTCTATGTATTAGACACAATGCTAAATGCTTTGTCAGGATAATAATAAGCAGGCTGAGAAACTGACACAGCAGGGCCAGAGGCAAACACTGGTTTGACTGTAATTAGTGTCCCTAATCAAATGGTACTGAAATTTAGCCTGAGCCATATGAGAAGAATACCATGAGTAGTAGCCAGATGGTAATGATGTAGGCTAGAGTAGGCAGCTCTGGTGGCTTAGGGATAAAAAGCTGTGCTGTCTACCCAAAGGTACATGGTTCAAATCCAGCAGCTTCAAATGAGAATGATTGGCAGTCTCCCTCCTCCTGCACAATATATGGCCTCTGAAAACCCACTGTAGGGTCTGACACAAGTTAGTTCCCAGTCAGTGGTATACAACAGCAACCTTATGGCCTCTAGTAGAGGACCTAAGATTTTAATTAGAAGCCGGAAGGATCACGTATCTACTTTAAGGGGTAGAAAACAATAAGCCACATTGGGAAATTAAAGCAATTAAACAGAAGTTAATAATCTCTTACCATGCACAGCAGATTGCTTCTGTTTTGCTTTAAACCGGCAAGGGATCTGTTTTGGTTTGCTTTTGCCCATATAAGAAATTTGATACCAAGACCTTGGAAAAGTTCTTAAGAAATTTCATTTTAACTTGGGTAATAGAGTGGGATGACCCAAGAGAAACCAATAACAACGTATTAGGGGTTGGAAGAGAATTCGGAATTAGGAAAAAAGGAGAAGGAGAATTTACACTTTTTATTTTCTAATCATCTATATATCTAAAATTTTTTTCTTTTCCTTTTTGAATCTCTTATATTGCATTAAAATCACCTAACTTAATAGTGGCTTAACTTGGTGAGCAAAAAAAGAAGAAAAACTTAAAATTTTATACATTCTCGATGCCTTTAGACCGAGAGTCAGAAGAGTTTTGTTTCTCGTTGACATATTAATTAATTACATACGTTTTTTTTTTACAGGTACCCAGGTGTTGCTTCTGATATTCAGGAAGAAAAAGGCATTAAGTATAAATTTGAAGTATATGAAAAGAAGGATTAATATGAAGACATTTTCTGATTTATTTCAAGTTGTTCTCTTCAAAACATTATGTATTAACAATAGAAAAAAAGACTTTGTTGACTTTAGATCAGAATTTAGTAATTGTTTCTAAGCTGAGTTTTTTTGGTTGATTTTTTTCCTCCATAAACCTTAAATAGACTTAAATCTCTCGATTTAAGTTTGGAAAAGATTTCTTGCTATAATTACATAAATGCCTTCTCCTCAAGGCCTTTGATTGGGCTGTACCTGGGGTAACATATTTGCCAAGACAACCAAGAAATGAGAGACTCCTGCTAACATCAGTTGAAATCAGGGTCCATAAAGATAGAAGCTAAATTGATTAAACCAAATGTTAGAAATCCATTATAAACAGAAGGACTGCAACTCAGATTTTAAAAGAAAATTGTATCAAAATGAGTACTGTGGATTATTCTGGGTGTATCACACATCTGATAAAACTTCTGTTCACTCAGGTTATCAATGATTTGAGAAATCATGTTCAGTTGGGACAATAAAGAGACAGGTAGGAAACTTACCATTTGATGGTTAAAAGAGAATACAAGGTCTGAGACCTTTAAAAATTCTGTTTCTATTCTTCTGTGAAATCCCATGGAATGTCTCAAGGATAGAACAAAAATAGACTGCTCTTTTCAAAAATAAAAGAAATCTAAAAGCAAGCATAATTACTTAAATTAAAAATTCAAAGAAGTAAAGAATTAAGGACAGATATTCCTAGGAACCAAGATTACTAAATTAGAAAGTAAACTTCACAAAATTTAAAAATCAAAATTGGAAATTTTTTTTACCCACTATTTGGCAAAGATTGACTATTATGGTTTCCAAAGAATTAGCATTTTCTGTACTTTAAATTGTTATGCCATCTTAAAGTGTAAATTCACAAAATCAATTTAAAGTTCACAATGTTCTAGACTAGAACATAGAAATTCATTCTGAACAAAGACATGAGCTTGACTATTACATCTTTTTTAAAATTATGATTTTAGTAAAGGTTTATAGAAAGGTTGGGTGTTCATTCATTCATCAGTATACATTTTCTTTCCCTCTCTTCTCCCCTCAGTTCACTCTGTAATGCACATCTTGTTCCTGATTGTTATTGTCATACATGTAATGTCTACTCACCATTCCTTTCAGGTAATCAATCCTCTTCACCTATTCCAGTGCAGTGTTCATTATCTGCCCATTCTTTTCCTCTTCTCCCTCCCACTTGCAGCATTTTTAATCTTGAAAATTGCCAAAATGTTGATCAATAAAAAATGACCTTATACAGTTTAATATTTTGCAAGTTGCAAAGAATGAGGTACTGACAGAAAATAACAATGATTGCAAAGTGAAAGAAGCAAGTTGTGTACAATACTGAGGATTTTTAATAAATAAATTTTAATGAATTATGTATAGAAAAATATTGTGTTGCTATTGGAAATAATTAGTTTCCATTTTCTTCGCTGGATATTTTTAATATGATTGTTGTAGTTAAATGCCATTGATTCAGCCACCATTTATAGCAGTCCTATGCACGATGGATCTGAACTTTGTCCAAACCTGTGCCATCCTTATCATCTCTGACACACTCGTGCCCACTATTATAGTCACAGCATCACTCCATCTCATTCAGGGTCTCACTCACCTTGGACCCTTTCAACTATTATGTCCTCACTCAAGACTGGACCTTCCTAACAGCATATCCAAAGTATGTGAGATGAAGTTTCACTATCTTTGCCTCCAAGGAGCACCATTTTCAAGACATGCTTATTCTTTTGATGGTCCATGTGATAATTCAGCACTCTATTTCAACACAACTCAAAGGCATCAATTGTTTTGTCATGCTTATTCATTTTCCAACATTCCGATGTAACTGAAGAGATCATGGCTTAGGTCAGGCACACAGTCTTCAAGCTGACATCTTTGCTCTTAAACACTTTGGAGAAGTGTCTGACAACAGACTTTCCCAGTGTCTTTTTATTTCCTGGCTGCTGGTACCAAAGGTGGTGGTTATGAATCCAAGCACGATGAAGTCATTGACAATTTCTATCTTTTCTCCATCTAGCATGATGTTGTCTGTTGGTCCAGTAGTAAGGATTTTTTATTTCTTTTATCCTCTGCAGCAAGTTCTTCAAGTTCTCCTCACTGTGTATAAGCAAGGTTTTGTTATCTGCATGATGTAGGTTGTTGATTAGGATTCCTCTGATCCTGATGCCACATTCTTCTTCCTATAGTCGAGCTTCTCTAATAATTTGTTCTTTGGATACCTGGCCAAGAGAGATCGGTCTTTGGAGAAGGATATGACACTTGGCAGGGTGGACAGGCGGCACAGGAGAGGAAGACCCTCGATGAGATGGATTGATACAGTAACTGGGGCAATGGGATTTGGTGTGTCAGAATTAGACTGGCTCAGGACAGGGAATGGTTCAGAGCTGCTGTATATAAGGTACATACATCGCAGATACTCAATGGCAAATAACAATAACATACTGTGACAGGTTTGAAAGCAGGAGTGGCATCCACTTCCTAAATAACATGCCTCCAAATACTATGAACTTTGTTAAATGTCGATAGTTGTAGAGGAACTTCAGGCCTTTTGTTCATAGGCTTGTTATGTGTCATGTTCCACTCAAAGGCAATCAACCACAACAATAGCATAAAGATTAAAAACAGGAAGAAAAGAGATAGTCTTGGTGCACACTTCTCTGATTTTAAACTATGCAGTGTTCCCTTACTCAGTTCTAAAACTTCTTGGTTTAGGTGTAGGTTTTGCAAGAGTGCAATTAAGTATTTTGGGATTCCCATTCTTCTCAATGTCAACCATAACTTGTTATTATCTACACAATCAAATGCCTTAGTGTAATCAGTAAAACACAAATAGACGTAGTTCTTGTATTCTTTGCTTTCAGCCAAGTTTCATCAAACATCAGCAATGACATCTCTAATGTCCTGGCTCTTCTGTTTAGTCTGTCTTGAAGTACAATGTTGTTAGTACTGGATAGTATCCACACACATTCAAGGCAGACCTGTTAATACAACAATTATGCATACAACTGTATGCACCAACATCTAAAGCCAGTGATGAGGAAATTGAGTGTTTCTACCAACTTCTGCAAATAGAAATTGACCAGACATGCGATCAAGAGACTAATAATTGGTGAATGCAGTATAAAAGTTGGAAGCAAAGAGGAACTGGTAGTCAGAAACTATGGACTTAGTGACAGAAATGAGGCTAGAGAGCAAATTGAATATTTTGTAACCAATAATGTATCCATTGCAAATACCTTTTTAAACACAAATGGAACCATGCACATGATGGACTACACAGGAGTCAGACTGACTACACTTGTGGAAAGAATCTTTGGAAAAGATCAAGGTGATGTGTTGTTATGTGCTGTTGAGTCGCTTGCAACTCAGTGACCCTATGTACAACAGCCCTAAACCCTGCTCTGTCCTATGCCAATCGCACTGTCTCCAACACACCCACCCCAATTATCCTAGTCACTGAATCAATCCACCTCATAGAGGGTCTTCCTCTCCTGCACTGTCCCTCCACCCTCCCAAGCATAATATCCCTCTCCAAGGACCAGAACCTCCTTGCAACATGTCTAAAGTATGTCAGATGAAGCCTGAGAATCCTGGTTTAACCCTCTCAGGATGAATCTGTTTGTTTTCTTAGCAGTCCATGGAACATTCAATACTCTTCTCCAGCACCACAGCTCAAAGGCATCAATTCTCCTTCTATCCTCCCATTGTCCAACTCTCCGATGCATAGCAAGTGATTATAAAGACCATGGCATGTATCAGGCGCACCTTCGTCTCCAGAGAGACACCATTCCTCTTTGGTACCCTGGAGAGGTCCCTAACAGCAGACTTTCCCATGGCAATACATCTTTTAATATTCTGGCTGCTGATGCCAAGAGTGTTGACCGTGGAGCCAAGTAAATTTAAGCTGTGAACAATCTCAATCTCTTCATCCTGATGCTGCCAAATGGCCCAGTGGTGAGAATCTTCTTGATATTGAGCTTCAATCCATACTGAAGACTGCAGTCCTTGACCCTCTGCAGCAAGCGCTTCAGATCCTCCTCAGTTTCAGCAAGCAGGGTTGTGTCATCTATATAGCACAGATTGTTGATGGATCTTCCACCAATCCTGATGCCACACTTCTTTCTCCTCATAGAGCCCACGCTCCCAGATAATCTGTTCTGTATATAGGCTGAAAAGGTATGGAGATAGGACATATCCCTGGTGACACCCCAGTTTTGAACCATGCATTATTTCCTTGCTCTGTTCTGACAACTGCATCTTGGTCCAAGTATACATTTTGCATTAGCACAATCAAGTGTTCTGGGATTCCCATTCTTCTGAGTCAGCCACAGTTTGTTATGATCCACACAGTCAAACACCTTTACATAGTCAATGAAACAGATATATATTCCTCTGGTATTCCCTGCTTTCAGCTAAGATCTATCTAACATTAGCTACAATATCCCTTGTACCACGACCTCTTCTAAATCCAGCCTGCACATCTGGCAGTTCTCTGTTGACATATTGTTCCAAACGTTTTTGGATAATCTTCAGTAGAATCTTACTTGCATGTGAAATCAATGATACTGTTCTACAGTTTCCACACTCTGTTGGGTCACCCTTCCTTGGAATGGGAACAAATATAGATTTCTTCTGTCAGTTGGCCAAGGGGGTAATGATGAGAAGTCAAAAACCAGGCCAGATCCTGACTGGAACAGACTATCAGTTGCAGGTTCAAACAGACTGAAGAAAATGAAAACAAGCCCACAAGAACCAAAATATGACCTTCAGTCTATAAAATATTAGGACTTGTGAAACTATTTAATCTTAGTACAAGGATTTATTTAAGATAATAAAGTACAAATACAACAAATCAAAGGCCTCAATTCTTCTATTGTTATCCTTATTCCCACAACAATGAATGAATGAAAACCCAAAATCTCTGTAAATGTTCACTAAAACTAATAAAATTT